GTCAGCCTTTCTGCTCCTATGATGCTGCTTGGCCTGCTGTGTTCATCCAGCCCTGCACCTTGTTGTCTCAGATTCTCCAGCACCTGCAGTTCCTACTATCTCCCACTCCAAGAAATGAACTCTGTTCCAAATTGAAAATTCAAAATTATGTGAGGGAGTGATTGGAATTAATTTAATTTGTGCTAATGTGTCTAAAAATGTTGATTTAGTCAGGATTAAGATGTTCACATTATAAAGAAATGTCTAATACTTATTAAAATTACTTTATAAAAATTGTGTTTAGTGAATCAGAAAAGGGGCTAAACGGATTAGCTTCAGTTTAGCACAGATTTTCCACATCTGCTTAAAATGTAAAATCTCACTAAAAGACTGGGAGTTATAGAGGGTTGATGGTCTCATTGATTGAATTTGTATGTAATGAGATTGGGGACTGTAAATCCTGTTTATAATTTTCATCTTCACACTTTTGAAAAGAGCCTGTAGTGGCGGCTGGGCAGTGAAGCCTCCATTAATTCACACTTAATTCTGCTCACCAGTATTGCAGAGTCCAACATTTAAATAGCTTATTACTATTCCAGCTGGTAATCTTATTAACATCCAAAGTGCACCACATTGTATGAAGAGCAAGCTACTGGAAATTAGCCTTTCCGGTAATATTTTAACAACGTAGCATAGGGAAAGTACAACGTGATTCGAGTGAATGTCTCATTGAAAATTCATACGTGTTTCAGTCACAAATCTATTTCCCTCATTATGCTGATTAGAGTTGATTGCTTGCATGCTTAATCCTTTAGAATTTGTTTGGATTTGTTTTTTTTTCTGCTACTGCTTTTATAGAATCGACATAACACATTAAATCAAAGTTTATTGTTTGCTGCAAAACATTACCTACTTTTGTGTTCAAAATTTCCTCAATCCATCTGGATTTTCAGTACTTCTTGCTGATTAGAGTACTTACTGAGAAAGCTATTTGTTTGTGTGACAGTATAACCATCAGTGGAAAAAATGTCTCATTCATTCATTCTTCAACATCATGTTGAGATTGTACAGGATGTTGTTGAGGCCTCTTCTGGAGTACTATGTACTGTTCTACACACTCTGCTGTAGGAACGATACTACTAAATTGGAGAGGGTTCAGAAAAGATTTACCCTGATGTTGCTGGGAATGGAACGTTTGAGTTATAAAAATAGGCTGGGACTTTTTTCACTGGAGCGAAGGAGGTTGAGGGGTGACCTTATAGACATTTATGAAATCATGAGGGGTATAGATAAGGTAAATAGCAAAGGTCTTTTCCCTAGAATAGGGGAGTTCAAAACTAAGGGGCATATTTTTAAGATGAGAGGAGAAAGATTTAAAAAGGATGTGAGGGACACCTGTTTTACACAGGGTGCTTTGTGTGTGGATTGAACTGCCAGAAGAAGTGATGGATGCAGGTGCAGTTATAATGTTTTAAAGACATTTAGATATGTACATGAATAGGAAAAGTTTGGAGGGACGTGCATGGGCCAAAGGCCAGCAAGTGGGTTAGTTTAGTTTGGGAACATGATTGGCATGGACGAATTGGACCAAAGGGTCTGTTTCCATGCTGTAGGACTGTATAGTTCAATTGACCAAGGATGAAGGTTTGCCCATTTCAAGTGTAGAAAAGAAAAATATTGCAGACCACAGGGTAAAATTCTTCAAGTTTATTATTTTTCAGTTATGATTTGAAATCATTTTGATGGGTTTCAAATTAATTCCCAGTGTTCAGGGAAAAGACTTATTTACAATAATTGATCTGAAATTAGCAGGCTGGCCTCAGGCTACTACGAGAGATAGACATGAGCCTTATTGGTAGAGTAGGAGTTTGGGGTTCAGCCATTGGGGTAAAAGAAGGGAATTATTTTGCTTCAGAGAAGGGAAATTATCAGTGTACTCTCTGTTTCTCCGAATGTGCAGTATACATCATTTACTGAGTAAGACTACTTGCTCGGTACCAATCATGCAATTGACAGGGAAAAGAAAAATTGAGCACTTGAAAAATGGTCAAGGCTTAAAAAAACTGAAATGAAATTAGGAAATACTTGAACAATTTAACATTTTATCTAGAATCAAAAAGACACGAAAATAGAAAGACGATGTCTGATAATTAAGATGAAAACTGTGATCGCAAGTCCAGAATACCTTTCCTTCTTTTCTTTCACAGGTACAAATTACAAATTAACTTGTGGGTTCTTGTAATTTTTTTTAAAAAACCCTGCGGTGCTTTTCATGCTTTTTTTTTCCCCCTGTGCTTGAACAGTGCAAGTTCCAGGACCAGCAGAAAATTTTAAAGTGGTTTCCACTTCACCAACCTCCATTCTGGCCTCCTGGGATCCCCCTGCTTATGCGAACAATCCAATCCAAGGCTACAGGCTGTTTTGGACAGAGGTCACTGTCAAAAAAGAACAAGTGAGTTTGAGCGACTGCAGAATCTCCATTTTATTCTTATTGAGTTTAGAGTTATACACTTATCTATTCCACTAAGCACTATCATTTTCAGCTTTCTACACCTTGTGGAGATTCTGGTACCATTAACTGAGGTCAGGCTGCCATTCATTTCATCCAGAATTGCCAACCTAAACTACTTGAATGTGTTGTAATGACAGAGGATCATAACAAATCTTTGTCCTGCTGCCAATGCAAATACAAGAACTTGTATCCAATAATTCTCATGAAAGAGTCTTTTGAATCACTTAAAGAAGTTACTTATCAAGGGTGGGTTTTATGGCTGTATAAGGAAATGGTTTCCAATGTTAAAGTCCATCTCTCAGGAATTTGTGCTACAAAACGTCTTTTGTGTCAACCATTCCTATGATCTGCCAAAGTGAGATTGCCAGTTAGTGCCGGTCAGTTTCCTGTTCGAGCAAAAGTCACTGAAGTACATCTCTCAAAAGACTCCGGTCGGCTATTGGTAAGTCAGAAAATCCGTTATTCTCTTGCAAAAACAGAAGTTGCTGGAAAAGCTCAGCAGGTCTAGCAACAGCAGTGAAAAGAAATCGGAGTCAACGTTTCAGGTCTGGTGACCCTTTTTCTGAGGAAGGGTCACCGGACCTGAAACATTAACTCTGATTTCTCATCACAGATGCTGTCAGACTTGCTGAGCTTTTCCAGCAACTTCTGTTTTTATTTCTGGTTTCCAGCATCAGCAGTTCTTTTGGTGTTTATCTGTTATTGCCTCGATCTAGTTTGGACTTTCAAATAGGTCCGATTTTCCTTCTCTTGCAGCTATGGACTGAAATAGATTTATGGGGTCCAATAGCAACAGGAGTGTGTACAGTCTGTGTGGAGGATGGTAGCAAAGGGAAATCCTGCGAGGCTGGGGATCCCAAGGATCAGCATCTGAAAAGAAGTGGAGGGGCGACCCCTTACTCTCCTGACCTATCCAGAATCCGGAAGAATGTCTCTCATAGAGTCATTGAGTCATAGAGTTATACAGCATGTCCATGCCAAACAGAATCTCAAGCTACAGAGATAGTAGGAACTGCCGATGCTGGAGAATCTGAGATAACAAGGTGTAGAGCTGGATGAACACAGCAGGCCAAGCAGCATCAGAGGAGCAGGAAAGCTGACGTTTCGGGTCTGGATCCTTCTTCAGAAATGGGGGAGGGGAAGGGGGTTCTGAAATAAATAGGGAGAGAGGTGGAAGTGGATAGAAGATGGATAAAGGAGAAGATAGGTGGAGAGGAGACAGACAGGTCAAAGAGACGGGGTTGGAGCCAGTAAAGGTGAGTGTAGATAGGGGGTTAGGGAGGGGATAGGTCAGTCCAGGGAGGATGGACAGGTCAAGGAGGTGGGATAAGGCTAGTTGGTAGAAGGTTGGGGTGGGGCTTGAGGTGGGAGGAGTGGATAAGTGGGGGGAAGGACAGGTTAGGGAGGCAGGGATGAGCTGGGCTGGTTTTGGGATGCGGTCGGAGGAGGGGAGATTTTGAAGCTTGTGGTCCACATTGATACCATTGGGCTGCAGGGTTCCCAAGCGAAATATGAGACACTGTTCCTGCAATCTTCGGGTGGCATTGTTGTGGCACTGCAGGAGTCCCAGGATGGACATGTCGTCCAAGGAGTGGGAGGGGGAGTTGAAATGATTCGCGACTGGGAGGTGAGGTCGTTTGTTGCGAACCGAGCGTAGGTGTTCCGCAAAGTAGTCCCCAAGCCTCCGCTTGGTTTCCCCGATGTAGAGGAGGCCAGATCGGGAAAAGTGGATACAGTATACCACATTAGCAGATGTGCAGGTGAACATCTGTTTGATGTGGAAAGTCTT